ATAAAATTACACGGATGGTCGGCACTGTTTTGGCACTGTGTGGCCCATAGAGCAGGCACACTAGAGACTTTTCCTAGCCGAGTTGGCTACTTCCAGTTTAGCACTCTGTAAACTTGAATGTGGATGAAATGATTCAGTTATGGGCTCTTCTATACTTTCCAAATGTTATCGGAACCAATGGATTAAATCCCCATAGTGAAATGAGTCATCTTGTGGCGGTTGTGACGCTCCATAAATGTATCCAATGTTTTCCAGACATCTCTTTTGCCATGGAAGTCAATGGAAAAAAAGGCTTTTAGGGCCGCAGGGCATCACGTGATGGACCCGGCAGTTGTAATTCCATTGTTTGGCCACTACGAAAATTGTCTTCAAAGCCCGGCACACTTCCTGATGGCCTGTTCTAGGTGAGTCAGCAGTAGATGCACGCTTCCTTCTGACCAGCAATTTGGTTTGCAGGTGTAGTTTAGCAGAAAGAAAATAGTTTGTGGACTTTCCGCATCCAGAGACGACGTGGAAGGTACCCTGTGTTGGTTGTTGACGTCCTGGAATGCTGTGTCAAGTTCTGCCTGTTGCATGCATTGTCGTCTTTCAAAATACATTTCTGATCTCACAGGAACTTTAATGTTGACATACAGTCTCTTGCAAAATAAATGCACTATGTCCTACATTTTCCTTCAACAAAAAACATGCGTGGTTAGGTTTAGGAAAAAAGAACAGGGTTTGGCTTTAGAATCTAACAGGACGCGAACACCGCTCTCTCGGGTCAAAGTCAGTGTTTGTTGGACCCATCCACCAACCCTCCCGCCTGCCCCAGTCAGACTTACGCCACCTTAACTTTCGGCCTTGTCTCACCACATTTCCCCCTGATGCCGCTAGGCCCAGTTAAACTATAACGGCAACTGGCCGCGTATCATGCCCAATTGCCGGATTTCAATCACTTAGGAGTGAGACCAGGCTCACTTGCACATGGTTGGATTTAGGCAACAAAAGCACATGGTTAGGCCCAGAAAAAAAATGATAGGGTTCGGCTTTTTATTGATACAGAAAGCAAACACCAGCCTCCAGGGTGAAAGTCGATGATTGTTTGACCCATCCACCACCTCTCCCAACCACCCTGCTTGGATTTTCTGCCCTCTTAACTTATGTTGTTGTCCGGCTGCAATTACCCCTATGCAGTTGGGCGTACTTCAGTCCTAGAAACCTAGAAATGCCCTTACGTACATATGCAGGGCTGCTGACTGGCCCGTGGCATCCTGTCATTTTGCTAAAGTGCGCCCCGGGCAAAGCCAGCGGAGTATCCCTGCTTTAAAATCTCTGTTCATGATGCAGTAACAAATGAAGATGGCTGCTCATAGAGTTAAGTGTTACTTTAATTTGATTAGCAAGATTTTCTTTGAGGAACTGCCTCCTTTGTATTGTCCGAACATTTGTGTTTATATTTTCCTCGATGGATTTATGAGTTTTGGATCCACAGTGCAACCATTGTTTACTTGTGTGTGTGTGTTTGTTGGTCACGTTGTGTGTGAACGTGCACTCTTATAGTCGTGCATATATTCAAGTGTATGCAGAGGTATACACCACAGTGAGCGGTTCATTGCTCTTAAGTAATTGGCAGTGTCGGCATGTGCAGAGAATGATTTATAGGCTACTACAACAGCCACACTCCCCCCCTCCAGGAATTCAGAGGAAAAGAGGGAAGCCAGTGGCGGAGCAACAGTGTAACAAGAGCAGAAGGGAGAGGAAGGGATGAGAGAAATTGAGTGGGAGTCATATAAGAGGGTATGCATGTTAAAGTGAGGGCTGAATAAGAAGCAGGGGAGCTGAAATGGAAAAGATAGAGTGGAGAGCAATGGGAGGTAAAAAGTGTGAAGAAATGATTTGGTGAAAGCCGAGAGGAGATTGCTTCGACCTGACAGGAATCACAGCCTAGCAGAAACCTGGCTTGTTAGCTATAGGCTTGTAGATAGATGAATGAAACAAGAGGAAATAAAGGGGTTGTTCTGAGTGGAGGGACTAATACAATCTGAGGAACGAGATTGAAAGAGTTGCAGGAATAGTGGAATGAGAAATTGCAAGGATGGGAAACTTGGCTTGGAGTGAAGAAGGAGGAAAACCACCTCTATAAAGAAGTGTTCATTTTCAATTTGAAGGTGTAGCAAGCACAGATGATGGAGAATATGGGAAGCGTATAGTCGGAGCAGCTGGACTGAGAAATGATTCAGCAACAACAGCAAAGCCAGAGAAGAGAATAAATAGCAAGAGAAAATGGAGAGGACAGGAAACAATAGACGTGCAACTCCACCTGCAGAGGGTTTTTAACGTGTCAGACTTTGCAGCAGTGTTGAAAAAATGATAGACTATACACACCTTTTTTCAATTTAAGAGTGTACCTGCATGAGCTCATCTGTCCCCTCTACCTCCTGGGACTCTGCCAGAGATCCCACAGAGTCTCATCAGGTGGGCCAGGCTGCCTGCCCACTGGCAGCAGTGGATACAGGCTGCACTCAGTGCATTCATCCAGGGCTTTAGTTTGTGTGTGGCGTGTGTGTGTGTGTTTGTGTGTGTGTGTGCACAGATACATATGGGCATACAGCATAATATGCTGTATGCCCAGGGACATTTCTGATTACGCTGAATAATAAAATATATTTATATAAATATATTTTATTATTCAGCGTAATCAGAAATGTCCCTGATGACAAGCTCTTTCCATAGCACAAAATTCTTTACCTCTATTAGGACAAATATTCAAATATCCAATAAGACAAATATTTACATTTATGATAAGAAAATATGTGTATTCCTAATAGGGAAAATACATACATTTTTAATCAGTTAAATATTTATAATACTAAAAGGGAAATATTTATATTATATTTATTAATATTTTGTCATATTTGTATATTAATACTTACATTGCTAATAGGGAAATGTTTATATTTCTAATTGAAAAAAATCTTATATTCTAATAATACTTATTTGTTTCCCCAAACAAGAAAAAAGAATACATTCTGTAATAGAACAAATATTTATATTCCTAGTAGGGCAAATATATACATTCCCAAATAAGGTAAATATTTATAGAACTAAAGGTAAATATTTATATTCCCAATGGGAAAAAAATCCTAATAACACAAATAATCTAATAAGTTTAATATTTATACTACTAATGGGAAATATTTGTATTCCTAATTTGAAAAAAAAGAATTTGTAATAATACCTTTTTTTGTATTCATAATAAGACAAATATTTATATCTGTAATAAAACAATATGCAACAAGCTAAATATTTGTACTACTTAAGGGGAAAATATTTATATTACTAACAGGGAAATGTTTATATTTCTAACTGAAAAAAAATCTCATATTCCTAATAATGCTTATTTGTTTCCCAAAATAAAGCAAAAATTTAAATTTGTAATATATATGAATATTTATATTTGTAATATGGCAAATGTTAATATTTATAATATTAAGGTAAAATATTTATATTTATAATTAGAAAAAAATACTTATATTCCTAATAATACATATTTGTATTCCTAATAAGACAAATATTTATATTTGTAATAAAACAAATATTTGTAAAGAATTGTATTCATAATAGGGCAAATACATACATTCCTAATAAGGTGAATATTCATACTACTAAAAGGGAAAATATTTATATTTATAATTAAAAAATATATACTTATATTCCTAATAATACATATTTTTATTCCTAATAAGAAAATAACTTATATTTGTAATTTAAAAAAAAAATACTTGTATTTCTAATCGGGCAACTGTATACATCCATGTTTTTAAAAGGAAAATATTTAAGGTCATAAATTGAAAAAATAATAATACATATTTGTATTTCTAACAAAACAAATATATATATTTATATTAAAACAAATATTTGTACGCCTACTTGGGCAAATACATACATTTTTAGCGAGTTAAATATTAGGTACATTTCTGTATAATCCTAAACAAACAAGGGCCGCTATTATTAATAATACAAATTAATATTCCTAATAAGAAATATTTATATCCCTGCTTAAAAATACCAATGAGAAATATTAATATTTCCAATAAGACATTTTTTATATTCCTAAGCGGATAAAATCTTTTATTTTTTACGAGACAAATATTTATATTTTAAAGAAAACAATTAATTTTATTCATGTATTTATTTATTTATTTTGTTTCGATAAAACAAATATTTAAATGCCTGTCAAGACAAATATGTATATTAAGATAGATATTTATTATAGGGATGACCTCTAGCTCACCTGGTGGAGTGTGCGACCTTTGCAGCGGCCCTTTGCTGAGTGTCATCCCCCCCGTCTCTGTCACTCTCAAGCTGTCCTATAATAAAGACAAAAGGCCCAAAATATAATCAAATATAAAAATAATTACATTTTTATACTCCAAATAAAAGCCACAGCCGATAGTTTAATGGTACTTGCACAGAAAGCCACATGACGGACACGTTAACAATGGAGAAATACAGTTACAGTCAGATTTATAGGAAGCTGCTGGCTTAAGCCGCCATCAGTGATCCGAGAGCAGACAATGATAAATGCTCCCTTCCTCTCAGACCACCATCATTCCTCCCTCCTCCGTCTCCGTCTCAACTGTCTGTCCTCCTCATGCCTACATCTCCCTGGTGGCATTGTCTGTATCTCTGCTCTTCCTTCTTATTCCCTCCTCATCCTCCCCTCTCTCTCTCTCCCTCTCTGTCATTTTATCTCCCTGCTGTCTCTTTATTTCCTCCTCCTCTGTCCCTCCCTCGCTCTGTCATCCCCATCCCTTCACCGCGTTCGCCGCTCACTGTGCCTTCCTCGCATTGTTAACAGGGAGGATGAGATTCTTTATTTTTGTTGGCTCCTGCTCGCATCTGTATCGTCCCTGTTCCCTTTCTTACTTCGCGCACGCACACTCGCGTCCCTCACTTGTACCCGCCGCTCCGTGACACACACACAATCACACTTCTCCCTCTCTCTTTCTCTGCAGATGTCTGAGAGCTAGCCAGCTGACTGGAGGACTCCCCTCTCTGCCCGTGCTTTTCACCTGCAGCCATGAATGGTAAGAACACTTTGTTTTCCTCCTGCATGATGTGTTTGTCTGCAGGGGGTGAATGTGCACTTCAGGCAGAGTGGTCAGGGCAGGTATTATGAACTTGACGGGAGAGAAAGGAATAAAATAAAAGCAGAAGCAGAAAGACGGAGCTGACCAATGAGCAGCAGCTGTGTCGTGCCCCCTCTTTAAACTTTAATCTTTCCCTCTGGTCAAGACTCAAAGCTGCGTTTGATGATGTTTTGATGTTTGTGTGAGTGCTTGTCACTACTGCAAGCTGCAAACTGGACCCTGAGATTGTGTTGAAAGGGTATCGATCTGCTGCTGGAGTAAAGGATCAGACTTAAACTGAACCCATCTTTGATCTCATGACACTTCGCGCAAGAAATTACAGGCAATCCAGTGTCGTATAAACCTCCTCAGCAAAGAGGGCTTGAAGGAATTATTATGTTTAATCAATTTTATGAGCTATTGTGGTGTGTATTCTGCCTCCTTTCCTGCTCAGTCTTGAATATGATGCATCTCTTTTGTCCTTGCTGTGGACACAATTGCTCAGTAGTGTGTGTGTGCGTGTATGTGTGTGTGTGTGTGTGTGTTAATCCTCTTGTTTCACAGCCTTTGATCATAGAACAGTAGTTGCCGCTCCTTAAGGGCCTCTATGGGAAATGCCTCGGAGTTAAAGTGTGTGTTTGTGTGTGTGTCGGATGCATCTTGTCCACATGACTAATTCTGCAGTTTAACAAAGTGCCAAACCCCCACAACAAGTACGCTCTCTGCTGTAATGCTACCCGGTAGATAAACACAGGGAGACAGCGATTCAGAAGCAGCATCAGTGTGTGGTGTACAGTACGGGAGGCTGAGCTCTCTGCGTTATTGCACCCTCATGAACACGGTGAATCTGCTATGAGGCAATTGTGAAGTCATTAGTGAGTCCGTTTCCAAAACAGGTGGACGGCGTGCAACAGTATGTGTTGATTGAAACGCTGCAGCGTGCACCGACTGTTGATTTGCCGCACATATCTGAAGCATCAACTTGTCCTCCCCAGGTGAAGCGTCTGATATGTAAATAGTTGTGAAAGCAGTGATGTGGTTTCCCCCAGAGGGCCCGCGCTGAGTGTCTGGAGGTTTGACTCCAGCGTCTCCTGAGGACCGTGCAGCGCCTAGACAACAGCACACAGGCTGATAAAGGGAAGTTAAAACCACACAAGGCTGAGGCTCTTTGTGTCGCAGCTGCCGAGGAGGTGAAGTGTGGTACAGTTGGTTTAAATTCTGCACAGGCATCGTTGCTGTGGAAGCTATTCCATGAAGAGTATGCTGCAGGTTTTTTTTTTCCTGTACATGGACTGTGTGTTATATTGTCTCAATATTGGCTGAAGGGCTCCTGTGTGTTCAGCTCAGTTAGTCTTCTAGGTTGCTGTGCAGGAAGCTGTTCACAGTCCAGGTTGCAACGTTAACAGTGAGTGTCAGGATAGATTTACAGTGACGAACTGGAAGAGTCAAAATGTTGAGAGACCCAGAGAAAAACGAACAGACAAGATAAAAATGGTGGCTCAGAAAGACAGCAGAAGTTCTACATTTTGGATAATATACTTACAGAGTTAGATGGGAATATTTGCCCATTGTATATAAAGCTACTTCCAGGAGAAGAGGGGTATTATGTATGGGCAAAAGCCAAAAATGACATGCGCCAAAAAATATTTGCCAGTTTCTACAATCGGGCTTCCACCTCACCATCTGTGTCGCCAGTTTCCCGTCTCCAAAATGTTCGTAAACATGGTTCAAAGTGTCTCCCATCCAGACGTTATCATGGGAAGTGGTGTACGCCTCTTTCAGGTGGTGCAGTGGTTAGCATTGTCGCCTCATAGCAAGAGGGTTCCTGGTTCGAGCCCAGGGTGGGGGAACTCTTCTGTGTGGAGTTTGCACACTCTTCCCTGTGTCAGCGTGGGGTTCCTCTGGGTACTCCAGCTTCCTCCCACAGTCCAAAGACATGCAGGTTAATTGGTGACTCTAAATTGTCCGTAGGTGTGAATGTGAGTGTGAATGGTTGTCTGTCTCTATGTGTCAGCCCTGTGATAGTCTGGTGACCTGTCCAGGGCGTACCCTGCCTTTCGCCCAATGTCAGCTGGGATAGGCTCCACCCCCCCAGTGACCCCAACAGAATAAGCAGCTAAATAAAATGAATGAATGAACAATGTTATAGTGGGAAGTGGTGTATGCCTCTTTTAGGTTTTGTTTTGTGTGTATGCAAAGTTTGAGTGAGACCCCAGGCGTCTCATCTATAAAACAATACGTAGGATCTGTTATAAAAATGTACGTACGGACAAAAGCCAAAATTTGCATACGGCAAAAATTATTGGACAATTTCTACAGTTAGGCTTCCACTTCACCATCTGTTTTGCCAATTCCCTGTCTCCAAAGTGGCGTACGACTCTTAGGTCTCTTTTACTGTAGGTCTGAAGCATACACAATGTTTATAAAAGTCCCCAGGAAGTGCGCAAAACTCTCTGGTGCGCTTGCTCTACTGGCCACACAGTGCAAAAGCAGAGTCGTGATTTCATACAAGGCAGTTGAACTTTTTGGCTTCATGCGCCACCGAGTTACTTTTACAGGAACGAATGGGACCCTGCCTCCAACATTGTATCCAGGTCTCTTTATACATCAATTCAGGAGGTGGGCAGCTTAGCTTAGCACAAAGACTAAGGGTGGCTAGTGAGTCGGAACCAGTGTTGGGCTTGTGATACAGGCGGCACGGTAGTGCAGTGGTTAGCATTGTCACCTCACATCAAGAGGGGTCCTGGTTTGAACCCAGGGTAGGGGGTTCGAATCCTGGGTTGGGGGAGCATGTTCTCCCCATTAGTGTGGGTTTTCTCTGGGTACTCCGGCTTCCTCCCACAGTCCAAAGACATGCTGGTTAATTGATGACTCTAAATTGTCCGTAGGTGTGAATGTGAGTGTGAATGGTTGTCTGTCTCTATCAGTACGTTTACATGACACTTGAAAAAAACGAATTATTGCCTTAATCCGACTATAACTGGACAACTGAAGTGAATGTAAACGCGTTACTCCGACTAATATCGGAGTTCTCCAACTCCGATTAAGACACCAAGATAATGCGATTGGAATTTGATTTTCTCCGGCATGTATACGCCTTAATCGGAGTTAAACTAGACAATGCATGTGCACATGCTCCACACCCCCCGTGCTGGTGTATGACCCCGGAAGAATTGAAGACATGTTGTTGTTGTAGCCCTCCAACAGCATACAGCGTTCTTGTCTGCCTCTCGAAATCACCACGACCATGAGGGACCACCTTATCTGCACAATCAGTAACGCGTACATTACATACGAGATGAACAAAGCTGTACGATTATCCATCTTGCTGTTGTTCGAAAATGCCGCTCTGCCGCCTGACTCCAGTTGTTTATTATTAAGTGACGTAATAGGTCAACCGGAAAGGGGGCCGTATTAACCTGCTGAAACGACACATATCGCCACCTAGTGTTGAGGAGGAGGACACGTTCCCGTCAGTAATTCGATTATCTCAGTTGCATGTAAACTGGGACAAGGACAGAAGTCCGATTAGACGCCAAAATCGAATTTTGAGCGTAGCTCGATTAAGCTGTGCATGTAAACGTACTGAGTGTGTCAGCCCTGTGATGGTCTGGTGACCTGTCCAGGGACACGTTGCCAGCTGGGTAGGCTCCAACCATCCCACGACCCTGAACAAGATAGGCGATTAAGGAAAATTAATGAATGAAAGATTAATTAAAATCATTGTTTTTGTGGGCGGAATCTGAAGCTTTGGAATGGTAGTCCATAAACCAGAAGGTGACATCACTGTGGCTGTGTCCATGGTGACTAGCTTTGTCTGCCCCAAATATGGAACTTTTTTTTTGGTACCCTAGCATTCCCCCTGCTCTCAGTCCTTATGCTAAGCTAGCAGTCTCCTGACTCCAGCTTTATATTTACAGAGTGGTTCTGACCTTTTCATTTCACTCTCGACCAGAAAAAGAATAAGTGTGTTTTCTTTAAATGTCAACGAGGTTCCCACTAAAAATAATTTTACAACAAACAGCGTTTGTTCACGTCAGTGAAAGTTGCTTTAACAAGGATTTAAAAACCTGTGACATAAAAGACTTTTATATGCTACATATTTATCATTTGGCACCTCTTTTATCTGGCCTCACATTGAGTGGCCATATGTTTCCAACACCAGTGTCAGGCCACAGATGACCCCTATGGATTCTGCCGTTGCTGTGTAAGAAGCTTTGTGGCGCCCCACTTCTTCAGCCCTCGCTGACATACACACGCCCAGTCAACTGACAGGCCCGTGGATGTGTCCATGCTAGCTACATGTCCCAGTGGCACTGTGCTAAATATCGCCTCCTCTTCCTCACTTACAATAGCTTCTAAATGAGGTCTGTCAAAGCCAACGAGACAATGTGGAGAATACTCACATCTCCGTGCGAGATTAATTACTTTCCCCCGCAATTTTGCTGACAATGCCAAAACTAGGACAGGCACTCTGAGCTGCTAATGCTGGCTCTGTCAGGGAAAAAGCACATACCTGAACAGGTGCTGCTGTGGTGGTTCAGAGTAGAGTGTGTTCAGATAGTGAAACCAGCTCTTGGCAATCAGCCAATATTTGCTAACAAACAGAAATCTATTAGTCTGAAAACAGCTGGCATTTTTTGATTAGAAAATTTTGAATAATCTTTATTTTAACTCTGTAGCTGCTCACATTTCATCTGCAGGCTGCTTACGAGGGACTGCTGTGCTGTAACTATGTCATTCCTCAGTGATGTATGTGCAGTGTGTGTGTGTGTGTGTGTTGCGGTCAACAAGAGCCAGTGGGGTGTTTGGGTTAGCATCTGGGAGGAAGTTCCATCATGGGCAGGGTGGTATTTCCTGAAGCTGGTGAATAAATTACACCCTAGATACCGTGTCTATAAAGACGTACTCCCATAATAGCACAAAGAATTCTGCCCAATAACAATATAACTGCCACT